GAAGCGAAAAAAAAAAAGGACCTCATCCGGGTATTGAGGGAATATGGAACACAGGTGTCATAGTAGTACCCTTAACGAATGGAGCACTTTATTAAACTGAGTACCAAAGACGGAAGAAGAGTTTGGGTTTAAACTGTCCACATGACAAATCTACTGTACAAAAATATCGAGGAAGGTGCTGGAAAATGATTCAAGGGAATTACTCTCATTTAAAACGGCAACCACCAAGCGCATAGTGTCGGCATATAAATTAAAAAAAAAAAAAAGAAAAGAAAGAGGAACTGACAAGAAAAATATGATAAAAATGATAAGAAAATAATCAAAAATAAACAGGAGAGCAAATTAGGAATTTTCTCTCTCTCTCTTTCTCTCTCACTCTCTCTCTCTCTCTCTCGATTCTGAAAAAACAAAAAAAAAAAAAAACAAAACAAAAAGTAAAAGCTATCTTTTAGCCAATCGAAAACTTTCAACTATATTCGTATCATCTTCCTTTAAAGCAAACAAAGCTGCCCAGGTTTAGTTGAAAATACACGGTTCGCCACAAGTTAAACAATAGATCGATAAACTGATAACCTGTGTCGCGCGATCAAGGATATAGCCTCTGGAGACAGCAACATATAATAATAATCACTGATAATCATTGAACATTGCTTCGGAATTAGAGAAGAAAAGAGAAGGAAGAAAAGAAATATATATATATATAAAAAAAAAAAAAATAGGAGAAAAAAAAAATACACCTCCAAAACCCGGTGGATCAGATAAAAAAATATGATTATTAAAGGAAATTCGATAATCCACCAGTGAAATTAATATATGTATAATCGACCGGATCTTAGTTAAATGAACTTCCCGGGAGAAAGAAAAAAAAATACCAGGACCTTGCCGGAGATGTTAGAAAACTTTGCAAAAGTTTACATGTAATGCTTATTAAACTGTATTTGTATCCGTGCCAACAAATCTAATATTGAGATTAAACGACAGTGAAAATCGTGGTAAACATCGGATCACAATCTTGCTGGAGGCTGCGAGAATAAGATGCTGGCGATCTATGGAGACTTGCTGTCACTTGATCTTCAGTGATAACACAGGCGTCTAGCAACTGCATGATATAAGAATGAATCCAATGCTGCTAGTTGTCAATTGGTTTTCAGCAAATGTTTTCTTCTTCGATGTACCGTGTCTCTTCAGGACGTTGGCGATTATGGCTCGCCACAATTTCCTATCATTTGTAGCTCTTAAATCACTTAAGCACAAATAGTAAAAAAAAAAAAAAAGACATGAATATGACACTTGTACCCATCATTACCGGCGAGCTTAGGATAGTTGCAAAGCGGATGAAAGAACTGAAGAAGATTTAGAAACAGCGAGACGAGACCGTGACTAAAATTTGATAGAATACTGTGGAGAGTCCTGGAATAGAAAGGGAACAACGCTGTCATTTGAACTCCAGTGAAAACAACCAGTTACTACTGGTGTAAAAGTTAATGAGTACAATTATTATTATTATTATTAATAATAATGGTGGTCGTTGAGATGATAAGGTCAAGGAAGTTAAAATATCTACAATAATACTGAGCGGATATTTTGGCCACACACATACACCAACATCCACCCATACACACACAGACAAAATATATATATATATATATATATATATATATATATATATATATCTATAAATTTGTTTTTAGTAGCATTATAAAAATACATCAACCCTGTTGAGCAAACTCTCTCTCTCTCTATCTATATATATATATATATAGTTGTATATTTAGGCAGCAATCCTTCCTTTATGGATGTTTCATTAAAAACGACAGACAAGGTACTACGGTTAAGCTTTCTATTCAATTTTAATCGCAGTGACTAGTCAGTTGTCCAACAAAGAAAGCTCTTGTTAGAACACAAGAAAAATTAAATAAAATCTAAACCGTAGTACCTTGTCTGTCGTTTTAAATGAAACATATATATATATATGTATACATTTAGGTATATATATATACATACACACACATACATGAATATACACACATACATAATGTATATATATATATATATATATACATACATGCACACTCACATATAATACATGCATACTTGCACACACACATATAAATACATATTCACACACAGACATATATATATATATATATATATATATATATATATATATATATATATATATATGTGTGTGTGTTTAGTATATATATATGCATACGCATACACATATATTTGGATATTTATGTATATATACACATGCCCTCATAAAGTTACTGAAGGAAGAAATCGCGTTGGTATAAAATTTTTTATTACACCAATCAATGAGCCTGTTGTTAATTATGAAGCATAGTTTTGACACCCGGCTACAATACAAGCAGGGGGGGGGGCAAAGAAGATTGAGGTCACTACGAATGTCTTGCGAGCTAAACTTGCTCTCCATAATATCATTGCTGTTTACCAAGCTTGGCTTAGTTCTGGCCCAAGTCACAAGTACAGAGCACCCAGGGAGAATTGAATCAACTACACAGTAATAACGGCCAACAAGACCCGCCCGTTAACCATTACCCCAGGGCAGAAACGACCATATTTAAAAATGCCTGCTGAGATTCAGTGGTCCAAACACGATTAAATACGAGTCAGACATATGAAGCAAGAAAAAAAAACTTATATACTGATTGACCTGATGCAAATAAATAAATATATAACACATCTACATTACAATAGACATTATGGTGTATATATATATATATATATATATATATATATATATATATATTTTATTGAATTTCACTGAAGGCGACTGACAAGCACTGCAAAATAAGCTTTTATATTAAATGTATTTTTCTCTGGGAATAAAGTGTGTAAAAATTGTCCAAATATTTTGGGACGTGAGCGCTTTTGACTATTCTATTTTACCCATTGTATATATATATATATATATATATATATATATATATATATATATAATATATAACAATGGGAAAGTTTTTATACAAACTATTTCCAGAAAAGAAAATACTTATACAAAAGAAAAATTCAATAAAAAGTTTAATCGCAGTGACTAGTCAGGTTGTCATCAATGAAAGTTGCAAAAAAGAGGGATTATTGCCCCAAATACACACACCACACACACACACTATATATATATATATATATATATATATATATATATATATATATATTTTGTATAATAAAAAATTAAATGTTCCCTGGTCAGATCATAAAAAAAGGAAAATTAGGGACACACACACACACATATTTGTGTGTGGAGTCTCTGAAAAGTTCCTGAAAAGACCAAAGCCAGTAGACATATACACTGATTTTTAAAAAATTCATCGTCTATTTCAAACACGGCTATCCACTAAAAGTAACATTTAAAAATATATACATGTATACATACATACACAGACATATATATATATATATATATATATATATATATATATATGTGTGTGAAGAAGGAGTGAAAAAACGCTTTTTTTGGTTGATCTGGAGAAATAATTATATTATATTCCCCCCAAAAAAATGAGTTAAAAATTGAAAAAAAAAAAAAAAAATGGAAAATGGAACCCGTTTTGAAGTATCATGGACTGTACACTTTAACTCTTCTTATTGCGTCAAAATATTCGCAGGAGAAACGTATATATATATATATATATATATATATATATATATATATATATATATATATATATATATATAATATATATATATTAATAAGGCCTCGTAAAAAAGAAAAAATGGAAAAAAAGAAAAATGACGTTTCATGTTTATATATATATATATATATAAAAGAAAAATACAAAGACGAGACAATGCGTGCGACCATGTTCAGTATATAAGGTTGGTAACTTTTCTATTCCATTTTTTCTGGTTATCACACACACACACACACACGTAATGACAAAATAGAAATTAGTTTTTTGTGATACGTTTTGTCCTTTCACTTATCGATGTCATTAAGATCTAAACGCACCATACGAAATCTTTTTTCGACTTTGACCTATTTTTCCCCTAGATAAAATTTTTTCTTGATATGTATGTATATCGTTTTTTCATAAAGAAGTGATGGATTTTTATTTTATTTAATCCGCGAGATATATTCGGTCTGAATATTCTAGAAATCTCATTAAAGAAAAAAAAAAAAGAATGTGCAGTCTTCGCTCTTTACTTTTAATATTTCTCGAATATTCAGGTCGATAAACGAAAATAAATATAAACGTCTACTAAAATATGGGATATTCACTAAAAATAACCTTTAAGTAGTAATAACACTATTGTCGAATCTAGGGCGACTTGACTCTTCTGTTTACTAAACTTGGCTACTCGGGATAATAGAAAAGTATGGAAGGACGATATTGCTTCTGATGCTAATTCGTGGCTATAATTACTGCTACCTCCTGCACTGTTGTTATTTACTAGCTTATTTTCTTTCGTTTTTATTTAAAACACAAGACTACAAGCATGAGTCCCCTCTAAGAAGATCAAAACCTCTTCATTGTCAAAAAGACCTGCTTGAGATCAACTGTTACCTCAGACTTTAGATGTTTGCTTTCTTCCTTCCTCGTCATATTTCTTTCCTTGTTTGAAAACCTTACGACAAACTTTATCCAGTCGACATTTTTCACTCTTTCTCCCCCCACCCTCGCGGTTTTTTTTTTTTGTTGTTATTTCACCTAGTTTTACCCATTACTTTCTTAACTCCTTGGGGTATGAAACTGAGTCCTACTCCTTTTTTTTTTCTTTTTCGCCTCATCTTGATGCCAACTTTCCTAAATCCTAGATTTATTTCCCCACGCTTCTCTACTACTAACCTGTAGTCTTGCCTCTTCACGTTCTCTCCATTTTCTCTCTCACGAGACCTTACTCTCCTTTAACCTCTTTCTGTCCTGACAAAGCTCTTTACTATATTCTTCTCTGATTTGACCTTTTTTCTCTCTCTCTCGCTTGAAACATTACTACTTACTCTCCTTATTCCCACCACCTCATTTTCGCGTTAAGGTATGAATCTATCTATCTCTTTCCTTAGCTTAGCTCGAACGCGCTTTTCTAAACGTAACTAATCTCTGAATAGGACAAAACCCCCCAAAGACAACGGCAAACCACTAAGTGATTTACTAAGCGTAGTTTAACTGTGGATCAAGACCGGAAGTATGAAACACCTAGTGAGACCTGAATTCACCACTCAGACTCAGACGTAGCTAGACAAGCTTGCCAACAATTTGCAGTCACAACACGTCAAATTGCCTAAACGACCCAAACTATATTTCCATCGAGAATGGACAGTTCATAGATATTTTCTTTTTAAAAATGGTGTCTATGGAAAGACATAATAAACGTCATAGGTCCTGAAAAAAGATATTCTAAAATAAACTAAAATATTTCTATTTTCTTTTGGATAAAATTATTTTTTTTATCTCTATAAACAATTTTTTTTTATTTCTTTTCCTACATTTTTTTTTTTTTTTTCGTTACTCATTTTTTTTTTCATTGTCGTTCTTTTCTTTCATTCAGTCCTCGTTTTCTTTCGACCACAATATTCTCTTGGCCAGGACTGCTACATTCCTCTGTAACCCTCTTTCTTGTTTCTTCTTACGCGCCCTCTAATAATTCTTATTCATTTTCCCTTCTCTCATTTGCATCGTTTCATCACTGTTCTCCCCTTCCTCCCCTTCTTGTTCAGCGTAACTAACACCAATTTCAGATTTATTCATATAAACAACAAACATGCCGACATTTTATTTTCCTTCAAACGAACACTTCTCTTAACCCAATTTTTGTCTCCAGGAAGTAGGCAAAATAACACCACTGTTTTTAGAACCAAATTAAATCCGTTGATATATTTGAGCAAACGACAACCCTCTCTTTCTCTCTCCTCGTCTGTCTGTCTCTTCGTTCGGTAGGAACAGGAAGACTCAGGAGTTTGGGTCTATCTGCCATCTTTTCTTTTTCGTTAAAAATGTGATGGATCCATTCTATATATAACGCCCATTCACTTTTAACACTTCCCTGCAATTGACGTCTGAGACGCTCGGTCTGTCTGCCATACTGTTTGTCTGTCGGCTTTTATTTCTAGAGCCGGGGAAAGGATTGGATTGTCTTCTTCATAGAAACTATTAAACATATGGTTACGGCGTATGTATTTGTACGTAGCATGAATGTGTCGTATCTGCTAAGCTATCTAAAATTGTTTATTTATTTTTTTAAATAACATTTAACAAACAAGTGGAGTACAGGAGGGAAATATAGTTTAAGTACACTGACACTTAATCTACAAATGGAATTAAAAAAAATTATTGATTTATTAAATTTGGCAATTTAAGTCTCGTCATATACATTAATCAGTTCATATAGTCTGTTCATATCTATCTATCTAGTCTGTTCATATCTATCTATCTATCTCTGTTCATAGTCTGTTCATATCTATCTCTGTTCATAGTCTGTTCATATCTATCTCTGTTCATAGTCTGTTCATATCTATCTCTGTTCATAGTCTGTTCATATCTATCTCTGTTCATAGTCTGTTCATATCTATCTATCTATCTCTGTTCATAGTCTGTTCATATCTATCTATATCTATCTCTGTTCATAGTCTGTTCATATCTATCTATATCTATCTCTGTTCATAGTCTGTTCATATCTATCTATCTCTGTTCATAGTCTGTTCATATCTATCTATCTCTGTTCATAGTCTGTTCATATCTATCTATCTCTGTTCATAGTCTGTTCATATCTATCTATATCTATCTCTGTTCATAGTCTGTTCATATCTATCTATCTCTGTTCATAGTCTGTTCATATCTATCTATCTCTGTTCATAGTCTGTTCATATCTATCTATCTCTGTTCATAGTCTGTTCATATCTATCTATCTATCTCTGTTCATAGTCTGTTCATATCTATCTATCTATCTCTGTTCATAGTCTGTTCATATCTATCTATCTATCTCTGTTCATAGTCTGTTCATATCTATCTATCTATCTATCTATCTCTGTTCATAGTCTGTTCATATCTATCTATCTATCTATCTATCTCTGTTCATAGTCTGTTCATATCTATCTATCTATCTGTTCATAGTCTGTTCATATCTATCTATCTCTGTTCATAGTCTGTTCATATCTATCTATCTATCTATCTAGTCTGTTCAAATCTCTCAGTTTTTCAAATCTATCATTTCATATCAATCTTTCTATAGCTAAGAATCTATTGCGATGGTGCATAATTATCAGGCGTTTTTGTAGGCGAGTTATATGTTAATAAAACTTGCTGTTTTCTTTATTTTTTTTAATAAAAATATTATTTTATTTTCACGTTATAAAAATGCGTGTCGATAATCATACGCTCCTGAATAATCATTTAAGAATATTACTTTTGAATTGTTATGTTTCTTTTTTCATAATAGTGTTTTAAAAAACCAACCGAATATCTATCTATCTCGAATGTCACATTATCAAACATTTCTTGCTCGGCTTTCGCTAACTTCTCAATACGTCCAGGCAAGGACCGTTTTAAGATCATTTAAAATAAAAATTTCAAATCACACGCGTGTTAACGATCAGAAAAACAAACACACCTTTCTTTTACTTACACGGCATATATTTATATCTAATTATTAAATTTAATCCTGTCCTTCTTTGACATATATCAAAATGCCTCCTCCTTTGTCAATGCAGTTAAATTAATTTTGAATATTAAACTATTAAACACACCGATCGAATAGAGTCAACAAACAAGTATATTTTAGGCTTCTCACTTAATAATCAACTTCGTATATAAATATATACGATGTACATGTCTGATTAAACAATTTAGACATGTGTTTATTTACTTTCAAAATGAACTCCCTTCGTAATCGCGTATATGCTTTCTTGTTTCATGATTAAAGACAGCAAGAAAGGTAATTTGGTTATATTTAATTTATTCATTTTTATTTTCCCCCGAATACTTTCGATATTTTTTCCAATATCATCTTCAGGGTTTTGATGGCTAAGACAAATAAATGTTTTTGTCCGGAATAATTTTTTCCTTTTGTGGTTAAACCTGTTAACAATTCAGGTCATGCATCCCCCCATAAAGAAAGAACAGTAAGATATAAAATCCGGTGTTCTTTTTTATTTTTACAAAATAGTTCTCAATGTAAATATATATATATATATATATATATATATATATATATATATATATATATATAGTTTATGCAAAACTAGGTAATCCGTATGGGTAGATCTAAGGAGGGTGATATCCGGAGAGCTCAATGTAAATTCAGAGCAAATATATATATTTTTTTCATTTCAACCTTTGAGGTAAAGTCTGATGAAAAGGCTGTAGAAATAATTTATTACATGGAACCTTAAAGTGCTCTGCTTTTATTCAAACAAACAAACAAAATATATATATATATATATATATATATATATATATATATATATATATATATATTCTTTCTGGGTACATAGGGTATATACAAAATGTCCACAGGTTCTGGATGTCCGAGCGCTTTCTTTACGGGCATTCTTTTAGGCATTTTTACGGATATTTTTCTTTTTTTGTATTTTCTTTTTTATGTGTATTATTTTATTTATGTATTTGATGTTATAGGAATTTTTTTTGTTTTTGTTTTCAAACATGGTCGGCGCATTGTGATGGCAGGGTTCATAGTTAAAGTTATTGAGTGCTGACCGTGTCTGGAAAATAATAATAATGATCAAATACATTGCTATCGTTCCAAATGCATATAGAAAAGTCTACGTATTTAGTATTTAGTTTAAGCATTAAGATAGAAAAACATTCTTGAAAATGGCTAAAAGAATAGCCAAAAGCGTTCCAATATATACAGGAAGTTTTTACAGACTTTGTGTCCAGAAAAGAAATCGCTTATATGAACAAAAATTGAATAAAAAGCTTAGCCGAAATACCTTGTCAGTTATCTTTATATATATATATATATATATATATATATATATATATAAAGAGAAATAAGTAGAAATAATTAATTTTAAACAACTTTCGTTAACATGACCCGACAAGGTTTTGTATTTTTTTTAATTTTTAAATAAATTGCAAAAAAAACTGACCATGTTTTTTCTGTTTTTTCTAAGCAAGCAGACCTTGGCGGTTGAATTTAACAAAACCTGTTATATATATATATATATATATATATATAAAGGTCAGTCTATTTAGGAAAAATGAAACAAAATGTGTACTGTGAACAGTTTATGTACAATTTATTCAAAAATTGATAAAATGTATCAAAAAAAGAATAAACGAAAAGACATCACCTTGTATCATTTTAACAAAACTTGTTTCAAATGAATTCGTTTTACCTGAATTTAGTTTTTATTAAACATGAGAACTCTTATGTAGCGAAGGAATCATATTTTTAAACAAATATTATAATATTGTCTCATTAAATAATTTAGACAAGTTTTATCTACTTATTTTTAATTTTTGTAATAGAAAAAACAACACCTAGACTTTCTGCTAATGTAGAAAGTACTTGGAATAAATGACTATGTATCAAAAGACTTGTCCGTGAATATGAAAGGATCCTAATGAAAGTATATAGACAAAACTTTCTAAACTATTCAGTGAACCATGTCTATATATACTGACAATATATATATATATATATAAAGAAATATACTTTTAACCAAGGTATGATACATTTATGGGGAAAAGTGCTTAATATCAGAGATAGAGCGTATGTAAATAAAAGTGAACATTGAAGTCGACACTCAGAGGCGACAGAATGCTTTATGCATGAAACAGTCTGTCGCCTTTAAGTGTTGATTTTAATGTTCCTTATATATATATATATATATATATATATATATATATATGAGAGAGAGCTGGTGCGTAATATTCTCGAAAGCCCAGAACATGGGGTTGGGCCCTAGCATTATTGGGGGCCCCGGGCCGTACTATGCGACTGTCGCTATCTTATCAACATTTGCATTTTTCCACCTACATTTATATACGTTATAAATTAAACTAAGCACAACAGTTAAAGGATTAAAAATTTAATGGATTACGACGTCATTTTGGGATCTTGTCTATTTTTATTTTTTCCGTTCAAATCCGTGAATTTGTTTTTTTGCCAATGCCAAGTCTCAACACTAGTATACAGAATTAACTAATATTTTTATCCATAATGTTGAATGTGTTTAAAATTCTTTAACGTTTTAACAAGAAAAAAAAAAAATCTCAAGTTGACGTCAAAAATTTCCGCAGAAATGGAATCATCTATGAAGAATTTTTTTGTCTCTAATTTGTATTTCAACGCAGTGGATTTATTTTCTATTTTTTCTCGTTGAATTCTTCACCTATATTGCATATGAGCCATTATTGTACATAATTAAGTTACAATAAAATTTGTATTTTTTATGAATACCGCCTTATGAAAATTGGCATTGTAGACTGGAGGGTCCCTTATAGATTCGGAAGGAGTGGCCACATGAACCTTGCATCAGCACTAATATATATATATATATATATATATATATATATATATATATATATATAATGATATATAATATATATTTATAATGACATATGATGATATATATATAATCGTATATGAATATATATAATGATACATATGATGATATATGAAATATATAAAATAATGGAGTATACAAAAAGTAACGCTTTAAGTGCTGATCCATACCTGAAATATTTAGTCAATTTCATCTGTTGTCTGCTTAATAATAATAATGATAATAATAATAATAATTATTATTATAAATGAAACACGAAAAACATTGGATATATAATAATAATTATACATGAATGATCTTGTTTATATTTCCATATTAAAGTATGTTAAATTGTTTATTTATCAAATATTTATTTGGTAAGTAATATTAAGGTCTCTGGATGACAAATTAAAATGTCGATCTTTCTCTCTCTCTCTCAATATCCGCTAGAATCTCTCTCTCAATATCCGCTATCGCTGCACATACGCAAAATATACGCGTTCGTTGTGCAGGAAAATATCGAAATGCATTTTTCTTTTCAAATAAATTCTTCAGTACATTTTGTCGGTTGTATCTAGAAACCTGCTGAGGGATATAAACACAGTCCTTCGAGCTGCATTTTATCACAAACATGCGTGTAGTTCTTTTAAGCTGGAACAAAATAAAATTTACCTTACTCCTCTTGACAATCCTAAAACAGTGCTTTTATCTAGTAGATATGCATGTAGGTCTATTCTTAAAGTACTTAAAAAATTAAATCTTTGCACCAGGAAGATTGTAATCACAGGCAGTGTGACCAGAAATATATTTTTCATTTTATTACTATAGGTTAAGCTGTCCAGATCATGAATATGAACATTTTTTTTTTAATTAAATATTATAAAAGTTAAAAAGGTGTGCTCGGCTTTCTATGTAAACTGATTGTAAATTGGCGCCCTGTCTATATTGATTCATTTTTTACGGTTTATCAATCCTTTGCAGGTTATTTAAAGCCAGAAAATATTTTTTTAAATTGTAATATTTGTTTTAGATAATGTTTTAGTGATGCAAGTCTTACTAATTAGCTATAGCAGTATTAGGGGGAATTATGCCTTTCCCAAGGGCATTTACGCGTAAGTGAATACAACAAACCCAACTGGAATTGGAACTCTGCTCTTCGATTAACAGTTCCGAGCTATTATTCTTTACACCACCCGCACATCCAAGCTTACAACACCTGATATATCTGTCTAGGTACTGACCAGGCTCGACGTTGCTTAACTTCGGTGATCGTAATGCGGAGTTTTTTTTTTTTTTTTCATATATTACTATCGATAACGCACACTAGACTGTTAATGTCTAAAAAAAAAAGTTTTTATATATTTTAAGAAATCCTGTCACAAGAGCAAATTTATTTGTGCTTCTGTAGGGGTGACCGACAATGAATTTACATAGGAATCTGGAACCCCTCTTAAATTTTAAAACATTTATTTATGATTTTTTTTAATATCCGTGAATTGGAATCCTTAATCTATAGTAATATGCAAATAAAATGCTGACAGATGGAAGGGTTTCGTGGACCCCTACCGAACCTATGATACGTCACACACCAACTCTGCTAATTGTCATAAAGCAGTATTCATATAAAATACAAATTATTTACAATAATGGATCAGATGCAATAT